AGAATAGAATAGAATAGAATAGAATAGAATAGAATAGAATAGAATAGCTTTATTGGCCAAGTGTGATTGGACATACAAAGAATTTGTCTTGGTGTAAATACTCTCAGTATACATAAAGAAAAGGTACATTTGTTAAGTATCAAGAATCATAACGTACAACACTTAATGATAGTCATAGGGTACAATCAACAATCAAATCATACTAGGAAACAGCCAATATAAATAGTAAGGATACAAGCAACAAAGTTACAGTCCTACAATCACAAGTGGGAGGGGATGGGTGATAAGGAGTGATGAGAAGATTAACAGTAATAGTACACTTTGTAAATAGTTGAACAGTGTTGAGGGAATTATTTGTTTAGCAGAGTGATGGCTTTTGGAAAAAAATTGTTCTTGTGTCTAGTTGTTCTGGTGTGCAGTGCTCTATAGCGTCGTTTTGAGGAAAGGAGTTGAAACAGTTTATGTCTGGGATGTGAGGGGTCTTCAAATGGCTGGCTGTAGCTCTATGATGCTTTTAAGTCCATAATTCTTTTTGTACTGGGTGTACTAATTTTTATTTTGCTTTACTAATTTCAGCTATACAGTATACAATAGTAAGCCAATTGCTTTACTGGCTATTTTGCAGCCCTAAAAAAGAACATGCACTTTTATAAAGACCTTTAAATTAATATTTTCATTTTACAAACAAGAAAAATCAAAAGTCCATTAGAACATTTGCACTTCTCCAAAGGGTTGAAAAATAGCCTAGAAAAATACCTATATTAGGGAAAAGGCATGCAGTAACATGAGGATAGATGAACACGAACATAAAAAGATATGAAGGAAACTATCCATTAAAACACACCTATTTTAAAAATGAGCATAAACATGCATACAGATTTTGTAAATGCAATAGTTATTTTCATTTGCAAAAAAGACTTTGACCGAGGAAAATCTCCTCAGGAAAAAATTAGCAATGGAACATATATATCTATTAATCTTTTCTGCTGATCAATGAACTACAGGTAGTCCTCGACTTATGACCACAATTGAACCCAAATTTTCTGTTGTTAAGAGAGAGATCTGTTAAGTGAGTTTTGCCCCCTTTTCTGACCTTTCTTTCCACAATTGTTAATTGAATCACCACAGTTGATAAATTAGTAACACACTTGTTAAGTGAATCTGGCTTCCCCATTGATTTTGCTTGTCAAAAGGTTGCAAAAGGTGATCACATGACCTTGAGACACAGCAATGGTTGTATTAGTCAGGAAAGAGGCCTAAGGAGGCTTACTTGCTTTTATACTCAGCTTGTGAAAAAGATAATTGGCTATGCAAAATGTACCTGGAGTTCACTTGTGGACAAGTTGTACCATATGACGGAAGCCCAAGCATTAGGCAATTGGCTGACATTAGAAATCATCACCACTGGTAAACAGCTCGTCTGATGAGAAAGACAGATGAAGAAATCAATGTAGGTACAGAATAGAGCAAAATCTAATAGCCCGGGGAATAGGTTGCAGTTCTACAACAAATGCATTGCAAGAAGTATTATAATGTTAGAAAGGAGTCAGGCTCAAATTTTTGCAAGGATTGAATATTCTTGGAACCCAGTTTTTTTCCTACTGGGTTATACTTAAGAGGTTATGCATAATGTAACCAAATTTACCTTGTAAGCAAATTTTACATTCTAAAAAAATTAGATAACTGTTAAAGTTACAGCTAATGTGGTTAATTTTGTCAGCTATTTAATTTTCAGTTTTTGTTTTAAATGATGAGAAAGAAGAAGTAAAGGGCAAATTTAGCTGAAGGAGCAAGGCTTCACAGAGCATAAGAGTTCTTACTGAACTTTTCAACCCATCAGTAGTTGGTTTTCAAGTAAACATTCCTAGCAGAGAATCTAGGTCGCTTTGTATTAGAAGTTACACTTGCAAAACAAAAAACAAGACATGAGAACCATCCATGTCTAAGATCTATTCATGCTGTTTTATAATCCCTCCTATATTGGCTCCAAAAAAAAAAAAGAAATATTTTTATTACATGTACTTTCCGGGACCTAAAACAGGTACTTACTTGTTCGAGCGCCACACTGTTGCCAAATACGATTCATTATTTTGTAATAAAATTGTAACAGACAGAGTCAGGGATTTTATTGTAATGAAATATTAACTATTATGACAGTATTATAGCACCTTATCTGCACTATAAAGGACTTCATTGAATCAATTCAATGACTTATCTAATCTTATTCTTTCTTGACAGTGATAACAGGTAAAGTTTTCCAAATAATGGTTTGCATGTTTCATCTCCAATCAGAAAAAAGAAAGTGTCACAGGTATTGCTTACCTGCCAAGAGTATAACTAATTATGAATCCATTTTTGCTTGGCTGACTTAGCTCAGGCAGGCAGAGTTGCCCTTTGATAGGACAAAATTAAGCACATTGGTCTATTGAGCAACAATTAAGAATCAGGCTTCAGCAAATAATTATGTAGAATTTTTTTTTTAAAAAAAACAGCAATTATTTGCAATTAATCTACCTATTTAACTGAAGGTTCAGATTACATTTTTAGTTACCCGAGAGAGGCATGGATGTCTTCAAAACTTATTTTATTTATTTATTTGATTTATATTGCCGCCTATTCGCCCATGGTGACTCAAGGTGGCTTACACAATGTAAAATCATATTTAAAACAAAAAATAAAAACAAAAACAATAAGAACTAACAACAAGAATCAAATAAATTAGTAAAGTACAATAGAACAAAATTTGGGAAAACAAACAAAAACAAAAACCAACTCCCCACCCCCCCACCCCGACGACTGTGGGTCGCACTAGCCACCTGATGGGTTCCATCCCTCTCTGGGTTCCCCAGGCCCGCTGGCAAAACCCAGGTCTTCAGTGCCTTTCGGAATAGTATTAACGAGGGGACCATTCTAATCTCTGGGGGAATGATGTTCCAGAGAGATGGAGCATAATAGTCTTATTTGATCGACTGAATATAATCCATTAGCACAAACTGCTAGTGAGTGACATGCATTAATTCTAATTCAAATGTTTTTCGGTTCATTCAGCTTGGTTCAAAAACACTTACTTCCAAATCTATAGTTAGGCCATATAAGCGGATCTGTGTTTCAAAAGTGATTGAATGTAGTTCTTCAGTTACCACTTGAGGAATCTGAAAAGAGGAATAATAGTTTTAAAATGACATGGATTAGAAATGTTAAGATTGAGAGTATGCCCTGCCTCATAACATTTACAAATAGTTAAATATTTTGCTAAAGCATAATCTGGAAATTCAAAGGATGCACCATTACAAAAATCTTGTTCATATCCTCAATTTAACAGAAGTGGAACTGAAGCGGAGCACAACAGTACATTTATTTATTTGTATATTTATTAAATTGATATGCCACCCACCTCACTCGACAAAGGGACTGTATATGTCATTGCATATTGTTATAGATTAATTTCAAACTCAAATTTGCATATTACATATATTATTTTGTATTTTCATTTGGTAAATCTCAGGTGACAAAAATGACCAGAAGAGGGAGCCACAAGGCTATTTTCTGTAATTAAACTTAAATTGGGAAAAATGAATTCAGCATAAACATTTTAGCAATAACATTTTAGTATAACTTTGTTATTTAAAAACTGGTTATTCAGATTCTTCAGATTTTTCATTTGTACAATTTTTCTCTTCAAAATAGTATTTTGTCTGAGTTTATGATTTAGAGTGTTCATCATTAAAACAGATTTACCTGTCTTTCAACAAGTAATAAATTATAAGAAATAATAAAACATTTTACCATTATATGTATCTGGAATCAATTTATCCATTTTAGATAGTTCCCTCTTAGATAATAGGCATTAGGAAAGATTAGCATTTATGTTTCAAAATTGCAGTTATTATTTTGTTCCTTAGATAGTAGGCCTTAGGGAAGATTAACATTTATGTCTCAAATGCTATATAGTATTCTTTTCATTGATCTAACAAAAGTTAATGGAATTATGCTACAGCCAGAGCTCAGACCATTATTTCTTCCTACCTCGTTTCCTTTGTTTGCACCACTTGCTTTCATTTCTTTTGGCTGCTAAAAGAATTAAAATATGACCAACATCAATACACAAAACGTTTATCCACAGAAATGTTTAATGATGAGATTCAATATTTATCAATAAAAATTAAAGTAACATGATATGGGCTATTGATGACGGTTGTTTGACTTTTCTGACATGGATTTATTTCATTGTTTTCAAGTGACTTAATTCAGCTTAATTCAATCAGCAACTCCCATACTATATTTTGCTATGATTATTAATCTGTCTGCTTTTATTCAGCTGCTTTATAATGTTTACATACACTTCCTTCCCATGTATAATATTTTGTTCTTAATAACAAATAAAAACCTATTACTAACAAGATAATACCAGGAATCTCTGTGCTGAAGTATTCTGTATCTACAGGTAGTCCTTGGCTTACAATCCAAAATGGAGCCCCAAATTTCTGTTGCTAAGCAAGACAGTTGTCAAGTGAATTTTGCCCCGTTTTATGATTTTTCTTGTCAATGTTGTTAAGTTAGTAACAGTTAAGTTAGTAACACAGTTATTAAGTGAATCCGGCTTCCCCATTGAGTTTGCTTATCAGAAGGTTGCAAAAGGGGATCACTTGACTCCAGGACACGGCAACCGTCATAAATGTGAACCACTTCCCAAGCATCTGAATTTTGATCACATTGACCATGGGGATGCCGCAACAGTCATAAGTGTGAAAAACAGTCATAAGTCACTTTTTCAAATGGTCACTAAGTGAATTGTTTTAAGCTGAGGACTACCAGTAATTTTATAGTTCATAGCTGTGCTTTTTAAGGGCATAAATAATTATCCATAGATATTATCTTTGCTCAATATTTGGAACAACTTAATAAAAATTCATAGCAAGAAAAGCAGCCGTTTAAAGGAACATGCCTCATACTTTGAGAGTACAGGAAATAAATGGAAAAGTGGCGAGGTGAAAAGGTTATTGCTTTTTCTATATAACATAAGCAAAGAATAAACTGACCACTTCCTTATGAAGAAGGTAACTAAAAAGATAAGGGTAGCGTGGGGGTGGAGAGAGGGAGAGGCAAGTTAACACTTGGAGAGAATAAAAGGAGAAAGAGAGAGAAAGTATATCGGACATACAGCTAAAATAAAACTGAAGAGAAAGTCTTGAAACTGCTTGTGACAAGCTAAATAGTAATTCTGTTATTAAGTACAGAGCAGGAGTTTTGTTAACCTACTTTTCTTTTTAAAAAAACCCAACTCATCATATCCTGGACTTTCCCATCATATAACATTATTGCTAAATAATATTTTATTTGTTCATATCAACTAATCCTTTGAGTGAACGTTATATAAGAGTGTATATATAGTAGATTTATTATATTCCAACAAACTACATTACTATGAAATGATGAGAGGTGAGTTCATAGTTCAACATATGCGGTCTACATAAAGCATGTTCAGCTGGTGACAACAAAATATTTTTTTTAAAAAAAATCTGTACTCTGTACATAAATTTGAAACAAATTATATTTCTGTTACATACAGTTTTGGTTTTGTTACAGTGATTCAGAGATATTTCTTTTTTAAATAATAATAAATGTTTCTATATTGCTGTGAATTTTTTATCCCCAAAACTAAAAGCTATGGATTATGATTTCTACAGAACGCTAATTATAATCACAGAAGGTAACAATTCCTGCATACACAGTATATGTTCTATGCAACTCAGTGAATATCTCTGTATTTGAGAGAATAAATGTTTACCCTTCAAAGGAGGAAATGTAATTTTGTCTGCCCCCCTTTGAGGGGCAGGAAAGAAGGATATGGTCCCTGTTCATAAATTTTTTTTCTTGTTTACTTTTAATTTAAAAGTAGGTGGATTTGCTCCTGTCTCTGAGCTCTCAGAGGTAGACATTAGCAGCAACATCTATTTATGCATTTATATCTACAAAGGCTATTAAAGTATCAGTAAAAAATATTTTACTTCCAATTTTTGTATTTTTCCCCCAAAACAATAAATTTTTCCTCATTCACAGAGAAATGCGTTTTTAGAGAAATATTTGTTCCTCTCTGTTTAGTAAGGCCCAAGCTACACTTGACAATTAAATTCATATTTCTATTTAATATACTTTAATAATAATATTAATAAGACTATCCAAATAGCAGGAGGTGATAATTAAAGGAATCTATGCTGCCGTTTTTTCTCTTCCTAAAGAGAGGTTTTCTTCTGAAGGGATATTTCCAATTGTGCTGATAGTGAGAAAAGAATGAAGGTCCATTGCCATATTTGCTCTGATCTTACGAATTATTCACACCCATCCCCCAGTTAATGCTAGAGGCCTATAAAAGTTAGGTGCAAACATACATCTAGTTGTCAGGTATAGTTTGAACCTAGCTGGCAGTGGAAGGGATTAGGATCAGTACATAGCTTTTAATTAAGTTATACCAAGTTCAAAGGGAAGTCTCAGTACACAATTAACAAAATGCCATATCCATAAATGCTGAGAAGCAAGCAAGGATTTCCAACTCCTGTGCCAAAAGGAAAAAAAGTGATTTACCAAATGTCGAAATTCCACTGAAAGGTTCCCGTTTGCAGACTCATCCATGTTCATTGCTTTTACATGAGTCCCACACAGAACAAATCTGCGGTTGCTAGAAAACATATCCCGGTAAGGTTGAGAACCGCAGGTAAAATAATAAAAAGCAAAGTGTGTTTATACTTAAAACTCCATCATTTATATTTTCTTACCTTATAGTAGAGGCATTCCTGGGTTTTAAAGAAACAAACAAAGCAAATTAATCTTGGGCAAGTCTTCAAATATACAAAATGTCTTTTCTTAATCAACTTAATGATTTCCTAAACTTGCTGTATGCCAGCTACTGAAAACTCATGGGGGGGTTACAATAAAAACATACAATGTAAGTTAAAACAAATAGATTAAGAAAATAAATCTTCACCAAAAAAATCATGCGTTAAAGCCTTTTAAAATAATCAAATCAACCCCATTACAGAAAGGCCAATAGAGGTGTCAGTCATTTCAATGGAATGTATGGTTGGGATGGCTTCAGAAAAGACCTGAGTTACTAAAAGATGAGCCTACGGCAAGTATTAAGATATGCCTCTTTAGGGGATCACTGGAGGTGGGCCAGACTGTGATAGAAAAAGACATTCTCCTGAGTATTTAAGGTTTTAAAGATAATACCAGAACTCTGTATTTCTAGAAGGGAAAATCCTGAGACATAAACTGACATGGATAAAAGATACTCTGGGTCAATTCCTCAATGTAGGGAACCAAAGAGAGAAATCTCAGTCTAGAAGCCTTCACGAGTTCCCAGTTCCTTCTGGGAGAATGTAACTCTATGCTAGGGCTATCTAATCTTGGCAACTTTAAGACCTGTGGACTTCAACCCATGATGGCTGGAGAATTCTGGGATTTGGTCCACAAGTCTTAAAGTTGACAATGTTGGACACCTGTTCTATTCAAAATAAAACCTTGGAACTGTGTCCCCTCATAAAGAGCATCTGCTGTCCAAGTTCAACATGTTAATGGGTCGTCAGCATTTTGTCAGCACAGAGCTCTGAATCATATAATAATCTTTCCCATTTCCCAGAATGATCTTTCCTTTTCAGTTCAAATATTCAAAAATAGTGAAGGCAGAATCTATCTGAAAAGGTCACATTTGTCTAGCGATACCCATGCCATCACCACTGTTGAATTCTTAGCTAGTTGTCTGAGATCCAATATCAAAAATAAGCTGTGGAAGTTTATTCAAACATTGCATCTTTATGTCTTCTAAAAACACCATTTTATTGCACCATACTATAGTTATTTTGGTTATCATAAGTCTGACTAAAACCTGTCATCAGCTTCTTGTTTGAAATCTAACAACTCATTGGGATGAACTTCAAGAGCATTCTTTGGCTTTTCAACTTTATGCTTTAGAATGCTGATGTCTCGGAGTTTCAGGTTTACACCGCAAACAACATAAAGAGAACTTCAATCAAAACTGTCTAGTTTTGTTGTGGAGCAACAACAATGGTTCAAAGCAGTGGAAAGACTTTAATGAGTCTGAGTCTGATGATTCAGTTGCCAACTACCCTTATGTGTTGACTTGTTCTTTTATTAATCATGTTCTTTATCATGTTCTGATTTTATGCTGATTTTATTCTTACTATGAATGTTTTAAACTTCTTTCTCTATTGTGTTAACCCCCCAAGAAATGTTGGATTGTAATGATAAACAAATAAATAAACAATGCCATCCTATTATATTTCTATCACTCCCTTGTCTTATTTTCTTAAGTCTCTACAAATCCATTTTTGTATCTCAGCAGAAAATATCTAAATATTTGTAGATGCATGATAAGGAGGGAGATGGGTGGTTTCCAAATTTGATTAAGTTAATAAATAAGTTACATTCATCTTTCATTTTGGCAAGAAAAGACTCCAATGGGCTCTGAAGAAAATATTTCAGGCACAAAGCAACATTAGAAGCCTGAACAATACTTAGAAGAGAAATACAATAATATTGGGATTTGCATACAAAGTTAAACCAGCATTTGTTTCAAATATGTTTTGCTAATGTAAATTGAAATAAAAGTGTTATTCTGATCATTTAAAAATCTGAAGCAAATTTAGTTGGATTCAATTAATGTCAAACATTTTCAAAAATATCTTGAGAATTTTTACTAAATATTACAATGATTTAATTTAAAAAAATGTACATACTTGTCAATAGTAGCTTTCACTTTAATCTGGTAGTTCAGCTCTGGCAGTTTAATAAGTAGCCTAGAAAGTTAAAAGTGTGAAATTTAATATGAGAAAATACAGCTCTCCATAAATAACGTCTCAGGCATTGCTCAGACAACATGGCAATCTTCTAACACTGAAAGCAAATTAGGCTGTCTTTGTAGATAATGCCAACCAGATTCACAATATTACTGGTGGATTTACCACCAAGTATATGCAACCTAGCAGCTAATGGAAGAATTGGAGAAGAAAGAAGTTGATGTTGGTGTTAATGTTAATGTTGAGGTTGTCAAGAAAATAAGGAAATGAATTTGGATGCTAGGATTCTAGTTGCGTAGATCTGTAAGTAAAAGACATCAAAGCAAAGGAAACAGAATCCTCAGAGGGACTAAGATAAATAGATAGAGATGAGGGAAAACATGTGGTGGCTGCTGGTTGACAATGTGAAATCAGTAAGGAAATAATTATTGGGGGTCTGTAGATGCTCCCAGGGAATAGAGAGGAAATAAATAAGCCTCTGAGTTAGTAGGCTTGTTTAAAGTACATTATATAGGAGCTAGAAGGGATCCTGCTAGTTCCTCTAAATCCAGAACAATTGCTGAATTAAAGTAGGAGATAGGCATCCATGGAGGCAGTAGCTAATTATTATAGTCAAAAATGCCACCTGAAAATTTTCTTCCTTCTCTCCCCATTCCACTCTGGTTTTCAACAGAAATAATATAAATATTACTAATCTTAACATTCGATGCCATTGGGTAGATGCTGATGAAAATACAAACGCATGCCAACAAGTAGAAAAGTACAGAAATGGAAATGGAATATAACAGAGACAATGATATTAGTTAAAGCAAGAGGTGAAATGATTTGACTTGCTTGAAAAGCTCAAGTTGTAACTTTAACTTCCCAAGTCTTTTGGAGGCTTAAGAGTTATCAAAAAACCTTTTCCTCCCAAGAGCAAACTGTTGTACAAAAGCCAATGGAAGGATCGTGTACCTGTTTAGGAATTTGGTCTAGGGCACATGACATGTTTTTAAAAATATGCCAAAACGTTAAACCAATCCAATAAGTGGCAAGCAACAACCTTTACTCACCGAAGTTTTGCGGTAAACTGTATCATCGTTTTAAGAACCAAAGGCCTCTGAGGATGAGTTGGCATGGAAGGCTGTCTTTCCACTATAAATGAACTAAGGAGAAAAGAGATAAGTGTCAGCAGTCCACAAACAATCTTGGTGAAACATTGCAAGACTAGCAGCTTCATTTCTTCAAGATAGTATGAAAAATTGTTTACTTTATCCAACCCAGTTTTCAGAAAATTTCTTGTACAATTAAATATCTCCATATGCTGAGATGAAAAAGTGTTAAATAATAGTTTCCAGTACAGCTTCAGTTGAAAATGAAAATTAACTTATATACCTTTGGAAAAGACTGTAAAGTAAAGCATTTATTCTTTCCAACAAATGAGGTCTTTGTAATGGAATAGGGTCTCCTTCGTAAGTGAGTTTTATCAAAAGTTCATTCAGCTTCTCCAGCTGCCTTCTTATTTGAAAAAGACTCTCAGCCAACATTGTAAAACTAAATAAACACAAGAAAAGTTTCAAGTCATTAAACTTTGACTGGGGCTAACCCAGAACATTTTTTACTTTAACGGTGCCTCCCCTCCCCTAATGAAAAGCTACATGATGTTCAAGATCAATAATGTTATTTTGACACCTGCCACAGAGAATACCACAAGTACCGTTTTCCTTCCTGGTATGGACAAAACAAAAAACAAAACAAAAAAACGCTTTTTAGCAGGTGTCATAAAAAATCAGCTTCTGAATTAGAACTCTTCTTATGGCAAATGATAAAACCAGACTTGCTGTCCCATTTATGCTTAGAAAAATATCCACAGCAACTTATGTCCAGCAATTCTCTGCTTCAGATGAAAACAGCCCTAATTCTGTTTTATCATAGGCACAATTCTGAAAGCAAGTCAAATTTGCTCAATTTCTAACTCAAGTTCTTCTACAGCAGTCTTTCCTTAACAGACCCTTCAATGAGCGATCTGCTTTTATTCTGAAGACCTACTGAAATTATGAATGCCAATTTACAGTGTTCTAGGAAGCTATTAATTTATATGTGTGTATGTGCTTTAATTGTATAGCATTAACCTTTTGAAACATTTAATGTTTAAGATGATAACGAAAATGCAAAAGGTAGGCATTCTTTCTTAGTGCATTGTTAAAAATCCAGAAATGTCTATTTCTGCCAGCCAGATGTATTTCCCAAGGCAATGCCAATGCTATATAATTTAGTTGGAAGAGTCCATCACAAAAGTGTTGTCTATTTAGCTTGCACTGAAACTGCAGTGTGGAAATATAAACTACAACTACTCTCTTCTTCTTTTTTTTTAATAAAAGTTTTTATTGATTTTAACGACAAACAAAAACACATAAAACATAAAACATAACATAAAAAACATCATCATTCTTCATATATTTACAGACAGTGTATCGGTTGGTTTACCACTCCTTTTTGCGCATCCATTTCATAATCATCATAATAATTATGTTACATAATAACTCATATTATCGATCAACAATCATATATCCTAATATCATTATTAAACAATCATTTGACTATAATTTTACTAATTCATACTTAAGCGAGATAACTGTAATTTAGTTACTTTATTTTATAACAAAACATAAAATCATACCAAGTCTATCTTAATAAAATATTCTAAAAGTGTTATCAAGACCAAGAAAAAATGTATATTCGTTATTTCCTAAATTTCTAACTATTCTATTATTATATTGTATTATCTAACCATTGATAAAAAAAGATCCCAAACTTCATAAAATTGTTTATCTTCTTGTTCTCTAATTTCAAATGTCAATCTACTCATTTCAGCACATTCCAATATTTTCTTAATAATTTCTTCCTCTAATGGTATTTTCTCACTCTTCCAATTTCTAGCAAATACAATCCTAGCCGCTGTCAATACATTTACAATCAAATACTTTAAGTTTTTATTATATGTATCAGGTAAGATTCCCAATAAAAAAATCTCTGGCTTCAAATCTATATGTTTCTTTGTCATTTTTTCCAACCATATGCGAATTCTAGTCCAGTATTTCCTGGCCTCCTCACAAGTCCACCACATATGGTAATATGAACCAGGAATCTGATGACATTTCCAGCACTTTTCAGATTTGTTCTTGAACATTCTTGCTATTCTTGTCGGGGGAAAATGCCACCTGTAAAACATCTTATACAAATTTTCTTTATATGCTGTTGACATTGTCATTTTATAATTTTGAGACCACAACTTTTGCCATTTCTCTAAGTCAATCCCATATCCAAAATTCTTCCCCCAAGCAATCATTGTTTCTTTAACTTGTTCTTCCTCCAATTTAATTTCCAACAAATAATTATATAATTTTTTAATCACTTTTTCATCAGTACCTGTCAAAATCCTATCTAAATCAGTCAATTTATCATAAAATCCTTCCATTTTGGAATCTTTAAGATACCTTGAATGTATTTGCGCATATGAAAACCAATTCATCTTTATACCTTGTTCTTCTAAATTTTGCATCGTTTTAAGTTCACCCTTTTCATCTAGTAATTCCCCATATCTAACTGTTTGTTCCTTCTTATAAATTATAGGATAAGAAAAGGCTTCAATAGTTGATAACCAAACTGGAATTTTCAAATAACATTGTTTCTTAATTTTCTCCCAATTCAACCATAACGATTCCCGTATATAATGCCTTCTAAGATAACCCTGTGATTTAGTTCCCTTATACCATAGAAAAGCATGCCAACCCAATAGTAAATCATGTCCTTCTAATGCCAACAATCTAGTCTTTCTTAACGTTATCCATTCTTTAGCCCACATTAAATTTGCAGCTACAACTACTCTCTTCTGTCGGAACTATAAATGTAGCCTAGAAATAAAAAGCTGAATTGCATTTGTTCTGCAATATAGTTCCAAAGAGAACAAGTGACAAAGAGCATAATTGTTCCTTAAACAGTACTCTCTGGGTTCATGGTTAAAACATGTCATCCGATGGGACCCAGAAAACATGCTTTTTCTATTGCTGTTCCTGCATTCTGGAGCGTCTGAATTTTTCTCCCAGGCCTTGGATAGTGGAGTCATTAAGCCTCACTTGCCTATGCAAAATTATTATTATAGTTAATAGCACAATCAGCCAGATGATTAGATGGGATTTATTATTATTATTATCTCTTTTACTCATTAAACATGAAACTCAGTCAACTGAACATTTAAAAATGTATCACAAATACCAGTGACTGGTGTTAATGGTTGATACGGGTTGCTGCCAGCGTCCTAGGTATCAACCAAGTATCTTCTTAAAATATACAATGTTCTGAGTAGCGCAGTTTTTTGCAGTTCCGCTGGTGTTATTGCAGGAAGCTACAATTTCTTGATGTATTTTATAAAATTCTTGGACATGGTACCAAGTGCCCGATGACAATGAGTATCACTGTTACATGTTTCATCCATAATCGTGTAGTTTTGATGGCCAGGTCATGATATTTCATTATTTTTTCCAGTTCTTTTTGACTCTGGTGTCTCCTGGTACAACAATATTAATAAATTGTATGCTTCGGCCCTTGACAACCATAATATCTGGTGTGTTGTGTTCCAAATGGCAATCTGTATTCAAAAGTCCCACAAGATCTTCACCGTCTCATTTTTGACAACTTTTTCCACTTCATGTTCCCATGACTTTTCGGATACAGGTAGGGTGTATTTTTTACATAATGACCAGTGGAGTAATTTAGCAACTCGATCATGTCTAGCTTCGTAGTCAGTTTGTACAGTTTGCTGCATTCAAATATTAAGTGTGAAACAGTTTCAACTTTGTCATTGTTAGGATTGTCAATGGATTTTTGTATCTTTGCTTTCATGGCATTAGTTTGTAGTGCTTGTTCTTCAGCAGCACGTATTAAACCTTCCATTTATTTTTTGATGGTTCCCATCTTAAGCCAAGTCCATGTCAAGTTGTCATCACATTTTCCTTCAATATTTTTCAAGTGCTGTCCATGCAAAGCTTTGGTATTCCATTTTATTATTATTATTATTATTATTATTATTATTATTATTATTATTATTATTATTATT